GTTCTCATGTTCACTTGAATGGTTGAGCTGATGTTTAGTTTAACAAATACCGTACTTTCATGTTCACTTGAATGGTTGAGCTGATGTTTAGTTTAACAAATACCGTACTTGATAAACCGCTGTGGTCGACAGATGCTCAACACCAAGCTACAAAGTGTTTTCTTCGCTAGAGTCCTGTTCATCATCTTTGTACAAGACACATAATTTGGTTAGGTACCTAACATATCTCTCTTTTTTATTTGCATGCAGGCAAGGATGAAAAAATATTGATTGTTTTAGTTTCACACGGAGACAGAAAAAGATGCAGCTTGAGATGAAGGCATCAGACGTTCCCAATCTAGGTGACCGTGAGTGACATGCGTATAGCCTTTAAGTCATGATTTTGTTTTTTTTTCAATTTAGCTTGATTAGGTAGCGTGCATGTGCGTTGTTACGGGATAATTAACAATTTATATTAAAAACATACGGATCACACGATAAGATAACAATACTGTAAAATTAAATACCAACGTAAGTGACATTTAATCCAAAAAGCAAAGTTTATGAATTTAACACAGTCACGGAGTGCGCGGCGTCGCAGGCTCACAAACTCTACTTTATAGACCTTTTCGTGATACGGCTAAGATAATATTTTATATTGGCAGGAAGAAATCTCCGATATCCATTTCTTTCATTGTAATCCATTTATCTGGACAATGTTTGAGGTAAGGGCACGATTACAGTTTTTAGTAGCTTTGCGATATTATCCGAAGCTATGAGATGATTGATGTCTTGCAATGATCATTTCATTAATTTAGTTTTCTATCTATGCTTAATTATTTATTCAGTCTATTTTATAGGCACGTCGGTAGATAATGGATGACAAAATTCAAGCATCCATAATTTATCTCTTTGACTTTGATCATAAGTTTTGTTTTTATTTTTTAATTGATATATTGTCCTTTTGTTTTTACCGTAGCATTAGCACGGACATGCATGAAAAACGAATATGTCTTTACACTGTAGAAATCTTTCAAGAAGATCATGCATAGATTATTCTTGTATTGAATATTATATATACAATCACCTAAATATTCTAATTAAACTATAAAATTTTAAATTAGGATACGAGGTAAGACATGCAAACAGATATTTCAAAACTACTTGTAGAGTCCAAAGAAGTTAATAAATAAATCCTTATGGAGGCAATACAAATTCTCTCTAATCTTTCATTTGGTGTAGTTAGTGTTATCATAGTACCCATATGTATTCGTGGGAAATAAATCGTAGACAAAACGTGGACACTTTTTGGTGCGATATTCCAATATGGGTCCATCGTCCTGCCAATATCCTTGAGGCAGATCACATAAAGGATGAGAGTCCCTCTATGAGATTGCTCACAAGAGACTCAAACTTATATCTGATCATGGTAATGTTGAATTGCTTTGCATCAAAAGCATCGGCAATGATAAACGGAGACATAGGTTTTAGTATGCATAGTGAAGGAAAACTCAACCTTGGCCTTCTCAGCAGCTTTTCTGAGCCTTTGCAGTGCTAACTTGTCCTTACTCAGATAGTCAAGAGGTGCACCATAAAATTATGCACCACTAAGAAAAGTGTCACAATTGGTTGCCTTGACCTGAAAAATGTGTCAAAATTAAGAATTACAACACCTAATTCAACATCTTGAAACATACACTCAAGTGGATACCTTATTTCTACAATATATGTTTGTGTGGAATAGTTTTAAAGCCACACATATTTATACGGTGAGTATAACATACTTTGTTTTAAAATTTTATGAGAGAATTTTTAAGACACAATATTATCCATGTGACAGGCACTAATATTTACATATATACTCGAACCTATGTGTACAGAATTATATGGAGATGCAGCGGAACTTATTCATGGATTTATTGGCACATGAAAGAAATAGATATCGGAGAATTCTTTCTGCTGATATAAAATATTATCTTAGCCATATCACGAAAAAAAGTCTATCTGATGGGAGAGTTTGTGAGCACATGACGCTTGCTTCTCTCCGTGGATCGTGTTAATTTCACGAACTTTGCTTTTTGAATTAAATGTCACTTTAACATCGGTATTTAATTTAACAGTATTGTTATCTTATCACGTGATCCGTGTGTTTTTAGTACAAAAGATTTAGTTGTCCGGTAGCAACGCACGACCACGCTACCTAGTAATAGAACAATGTTTCAGCCGACTTTAAACAGCCGACTTCACCTAATAATGAGCCTCTAAAAATATGCTGCTCACAAGGGATGGATGGAAGATGGAGCTGAAAATAGTAGCTTCATCCAACTCTAACTTGTTCGGGTGGATCTTGCGTAGGAGTGAAGGACTTGTTTGGTCAGAGGAAATTATGGCTCCTCCAAAACAGCCTTCGACCCTCAAGAGAAGCCCTGCCAAACACCCCCTTAAAAGAGCTTCAACTCTACTGATAAAGTTGCTCATTGAGCTAAAGCAAAAAAAATGGATTCACCAGTAAAGTGGAGTTATGCCAAATGAGGCCTTATAGGAGTACGTAAGAGAAATAGAAGTGCTACATTTTTGTTATCTTTCTGAGGTAGAACTTCGCGTCTTGCAGCCAGTGTGGACGTGTCATTGAAAATGACCCCACATCATGAAAAATGTTCTCTTTACTCTCGTCCTCAAGCGTCGCACGTGTAGCTGTCATGGCCGGTCCACATCGACTCCCAGCAGAGGTGATGGCCAACTACGCCAAGATCTATCGACGGCCACTGGCCAATGAAAGGTCGTGGCCAGCAAGGTCAAAGTGCCGCAAGGCGTTGCGGCATGGAGAAGCTCCCGTAGGTGTCATAGTCCTGCGGGCCGAGGAAGCCATCCCTCAACGCCGCGTCAAGCGTATCCTACAATTGTCGTAGGAAGGAGGACATGTTGTCATGGAGGCCACTTTCTACCAATATCGTGTCCTTAGCCCCACCCACAATGATGGTGGTTATGTGGCGGGTGGGAGCTAGGGCGCAAGAGAGCAACGCTACCAAGCGGACGTGGGTGAGTGAGCGCGCGATGGTGCTAGAGGATTGGTTGAGGTGGATAATGCTTTAGGGCCTACATGGCAGTGATAGTCTATAGTGAGAAACCGGGAACCGCGTAAGGGATAATGGGTATTTCATGTGCCTCGGCGTCCATAGTTGGAAGCGCTCCACGCTGGCCGTCTGATATGTCATGCCACATTTGTGAAAGGGTAAATACCGAGTGCTTATTCCCTCACTGGTAGCAAAAATGTAGGATACAGCAGAAAACTAGCAAATAGAGAGTTGGCATCCCTTCGACTTAGCGTTTTCAAATGACGCCCATAACCCATCTCTTCTACCCTTACCAAATGTAGAGGTATTTTTTTTCTTCTAAAAATGAGATAGGTATTCTTAATCTAGAAAATGGCATCCAATATTCATTGTTGGTCCTATAGATATACAGAAAGCCCGTGGCTCTTTAGCCTGGCACGGAGCTCTTTTTTTTGGAGGCCCAAGCACGACACGCCCCGGTGGTGGGCGTGCTTGGGCCAGCTCGGCCTGATGACCAGGGCCTACACTATTCAGCATGATCTTAGGCCATGACTCACCCTTTACGGAGAAAACCTTGGGTTTTCGCAGCAAATAGTTAATGCTACAATCTTGGAGAAATAATGCTTAATCACGAGGCTCCATTAGATTCTTTTTGAGTGCTCATTCAAGAACTATGATCTTTGCCGATCAAGATTTGCTTGTCTGTCTCGTAATACCTTCTACAGGTTACCCTGCAGCAGCACCAACGCAGACCCAACAGAAGCAAGCCCTAACTAATCACAAGCTTCTCATAAAAATTGAGTTGTTTTGCATTATTCAGTGAACCCAATATGCTATCATAGTTAGTCAACAAGAGCGTTCTAGTGTATTGCAGATTCATCTTATCTAAGAGCCTTCCATTAGATAAGAACATCTTTGCTCGCTTTTCGCTATGACTTTGGTGGTTTCCATTTCCTCAACCAAGCTACTGCTTATGAGTCGCCGACTCATTCTCAACAGGCACACAACTATATTATCAAGAGTGAGGGGTCACATAGTGACCTAAAGTGATCTCAATGCTAATGGTACTTATAAAAAAACTTGTGAGGCACAAATTACCTCCCCACAAACACCATGGAGGGTTATATGGGCTAATTGGTTCGGTTGATCCGAAATATGTCTAGGCCATTTGGATTCTGTTAATCTCTTTAGATGCTCCAAGCAACCTTTGAGCGGGCTTCTCTACTAGATAGTCTCAGCAGGTGATCTAGTTACATCCAGACCATTCAAATTTTGTCATGCCGACTAGTTTTAAACTCTAGGGCATAGTGGTGGTACTTGAGGTGACTACGTGGTTCAAGAGGGTGTTTGGTTTGAGAAACCACCTCATTGGTGCATCCAATGAAATTTGATGAAATGCTATTTCTAATGCTTACACTAATTATAGTATGTAATGGACTAATACATTCCATTCCACAAAGCAAACAACAGAGTAAGAAGTGGTAAGACAATGGATTTACCATATTTCTCAAATCAAACACCCCAAAGTGTAAAAGTTCAGCACAATTTGACGCTTCAGACATAGGAGTGCACAGATTCCTTTGACTCCCTGTGCATGGCCGCACCACACAAGTTTACACAGTTCATTTTTTTTAAAGGAAAAAAGCTGTTTCTCAGTCAAAACTCAGCATCAAAATTAGCACCACTTGTCTAGCAAATCTTCAAAGAAGACGTGCACACCGACGAATCCACGAAGACAGTATAATAAACTTAGCTACTGCCCCGTATGGCCGTATCTCCCTCCACATGCAGCATTTGACGAGCTAGGGATGGCGTCCTACGTCGTCTTCCTTCGCTGTTCACTCCCGCGTGCGCACGTCCCTGCTTCCCTCGTCGCCGATGCAGTACAGGCTGCACCGCGCCCAGCTTATATATACCGCATCGTCTCCGAAGCTGCTAACCCATTGCGCTCTGCAAGTTTAACCGGACATGGCCTCCATGTCGCATTTAATTGCTAAGCCAGCTCCAGCTGCCACCTTTCCTCTATCCTCTCCGAGAACGAGCTCCGGCTTTAGGCCTCGCCGCGTTACCGTCCAGCGCGTCTCGTGCGCATCGCCCAGAGGCGGCGAACGCTCAGAGCAAGAGGCCCAAAAGCACGACCGCCGCGATGTCCTCCTGGGCCTCGGCGCGCTCGGTGCCAATGCCACCGCCACCCTGATGTCCGCGCGCCGCGCCGGCGCCAACCCCATCGCCACGCCCGACATCTCTTCCTGCGGCCCGGCGGACCTTCCGCCGAGCGCCAACGTGCTGACGTGCTGCCCGCCGCCCTCGAACGCGCTGCCAGTGGACTTCACCCTCCCCGACGCCACGACCTTGCCGCTCCGGACGCGCCCAGCCGCGCACTCGGTCACCGCGGACTACGTCGCCAAGTTCAACGCCGGGATCGCCGCGATGAAGGCGCTCCCGGCGGACGACCCGCGTAGCTTCGCGGCGCAGGCGAGCGTGCACTGCGCCTACTGCGACGGGTCGTACAGCCCCGAGGGGTTCCCCGGCGTGGAGCTCCAGGTGCACAACTCGTGGCTGTTTTTCCCCTTCCACCGGTGCTACCTCTACTTCTTCGAGCGCATCCTGGGCAGCCTGATCGGCGACCCCAGCTTCGCCGTACCGTTCTGGAACTGGGATGCGCCGGACGGGATGCGCATGCCGGCCATGTACGCGGATCCGTCGTCCCAGCTGTTCGATCCGCGGCGTGACGGCCGGCACGCGCCGCCGAGGCTGATCAATCTCGACTACAACGGGAGGGAGCCGAGGTTCACTGACAAACAACAGGTTGATCACAACCTCAGGGTCATGTACCGTCAGGTAACGTGTGTTTATATTGTTGTTATGAACTGACAAAAGAATCCTAACATGGTCTCGGAATCTGTCAAAACTGACAAAACTTTGTGACGTGCATGTGGCAAAATCGATGATGTTCGATCATCAGATGGTATCGCTGAGCCCGACGCCGTCGCTCTTCTTCGGCAGCGCGTACCGCGCCGGCGACGAGCCAAACCAGGGGCCAGGGCCGGTGGAGAACATCCCGCATGGCCCGGTGCACATCTGGTGCGGCGACCCGAACCAGCCGGACGGCGAGGACATGGGCAACTTCTACTCGGCCGGGTTCGACCCGCTCTTCTACGCGCACCACGCCAACATCGACCGCATGTGGTCCGTCTGGAAGGGGCTCGACGCCCGGAGCCACACGGATCTCACCGACCCAGACTGGCTAGACGCCTCCTTCCTCTTGTACGACGAGACCTCCAAGCTCGTGCGCATCCGCGTGCGCGACGTGCTCGACACCGTTCCCCATCACGCTGGACGAGGCGACGAGCGTGACGGTGAAGAGGCCGGTCGCGGTACAGAGGAGCAAGGCGGAGAAGGCGTCCAAGGAGGAGGTGCTCGTCATCGACGGCATCGAGGTGGACAGGGATGTGGCCGCCAAGTTCGACGTGTTCGTAAACACCGAGGACCACGCCGCGGTGGGATCGGGCGGGAGGGAGCTCGCGGGGAGCTTCGTGAACGTGCCGCACGGGCATGGCCACGGGCACGGGCACGGGAAGAAGGGGAGAGGGATCAAGACCAAGCTGCGGCTCGCGTTGAACGAGCAGCTCGAGGACCTCAAGGCCGAAGGCGACGAGAGCGTGGTGGTGACCCTCGTGCCGCGGCAAGGCAAGGGTAAGGTCAAGGTCGGGGGCGTCAAGATTGAGCTGATGCATTGAAGAGTTCGTTTACCATGCAAAAAAAGCAGTTTCTTTCTTTCCGCGAGAGATTGCAAAATAAGTGGATTGGCAGCAGACATTGCTTGTGAGTTTGCGTTTGCGTCTGTTCTTGGCTTTAGAATTTTATTCCTTGGTTTACACAGAACTGTCCAAGTGCATGCATGCGTTGATTCGAATAGATTTAACATTATTGCTTCACACTTACTCCGAGTGCCAGGCTACTAGCAAGATTTGTAATAAACATAACAAAATGTGAAGTACAGTACGTACTAGTCAGCTACTAGTGGACCTGCCGGGGGCGTGACCGCGTGGGCAGTTGAAAATTGATCTCCGGAAAGTTCAGTTTTCAGAGTCCAAGAAATCGGCAATCCCCAAGCTAAACCATGTGCAAGAACTACAACATCAATCACAATGCCGCTTACCACTCACTTTGCGTCATTAGTGAGTAATTTGTGTCGAACAATTGGCTCAACTTCATGCTGCATTGCTGCTGAAAACCACCATCAGTCAAGATAACTCCTTGAATGGTGTTACATCCTGCCTACGTGGTGTACGTTTTACAGAAAGAAGAAGATTCAAGAGAGCAGACAGACAGCTCTGCAATCCCTCCCTTTCCCGTTAGCTTAGCTCCCTCCTACGGTCACCTATGCTTCATTTCGTCGTCTGCCCTGATCATGTCGGCCTTAGGAGGACTGGGACTGCTATCCCTGTCTGACCCTCGATCTGGGCTCTTGTGCTCAGCTTGCATGCCTTCGGGAGGGTAGTATTGCGGGTCGGCGAGGAACGAGAGCGCCGCGACGACGTCGCTGATCCCCGGCCGGCTGGCAGCGTCCTCCTGCAAGCACATGGACGCGACGGCGAGCGCCTGGTACAGCCCCTTCACGGGGTACCTCCTGCCCAGCAACGGGTCGGCCAGCTTCACGAACCTCCTCTTGTCTCTCAGCAGAGGCGACGCCTGCATGAAATTAAAACGTATACATGATTCTCGATCGATCGGTAACCGCAATCGCTTTAATTTGGCTCTGCGGCCTCTGCGTTTCCTGTGGAACGAAACGAAACGAAACTCACTCACCCAGTGAACGAGGACCTGCTCCTCGGACGGCCTGGCGACGTCGATGGCGCGGCGGCCGGTGATGAGCTCGAGCAGCACGACGCCGAAGCTGTAGATGTCGGACATCTTGGTGAGCTTGCCGGTCATGGCGTACTCGGGGGCGCAGTAGCCGTACGTGCCCATGACCCTGGTGCTGACGTGGCTCTGGTCGCCCATGGGGCCCAGCTTGGCGAGCCCGAAGTCGGAGAGCTTGGCGTTGAAGTCCCTGTCCAGGAGGATGTTGGATGCCTTGAGGTCGCGGTAGATCACCGGCGGGTTGGCCACCTCGTGCAGGTACTCGATGCCCTTGGCCGCGCCCACCGCGATCTGCATCCGCGTGTGCCACGGCAGAGGCTTCCAGTTCGGGGGCAGGTCCAGGAGGTGGTCCTCCAGCGAGCCCTTGGGCATGTACTCGTACACCAGGATCCGCTGGTCGGAGTCGGTGCTGTAGCCGAGGAGCTTGACCAGGTTCGGGTGGTGCAGGAGGCTGAGCATCAGCACCTCGACGAGGAACTCGCGGTTGCCCTGGAACCCGTTCCTGTCCAGCTGCTTCACGGCGATAACCTCTCGGTGTCCTCGAGGAGCCCTTTGTACACCCGGCCAAAGCCGCCTTCTCCAAGAAGGTTCTGCTCGCTGAACCTGTCGGTCGCGGCGCCCAGCTGGCTGAACGTCAGCTCCCTGCTGGGCATGTTCTGGTTGCTGCTCCGTAGGATCTCCTCGGCCGCATTCACGTTCTTGCACACGTCTGCAGCGCAGCAAGTACCGGCAAGCGTAGCATTAGCCATGAATGCATATGGGCCTCTGCAACTCTGCATCTGCATGCGTACGAGTGGCGTTGGATGCATCGGCTTACCCGACTTGGCCGAAATGTTGTTGACGAGGTCCGCGAGCTCGCCGCTGCCATCGCCGCTCTCCTTCTTGGCCTTCTTCTTCTTCCTCCAGAACTTCCTCTTCCTCCACCTTTTCTTCTTGCTATCTGCTGGCACGGAAGCCGGCGCCGACGTCGACGCCTCTTCCTTGCCGCGCACACCACCTGCAGGGGCGCAGGCAGACGGCGAACAGTAGCACGCGCCCGCGCTGCGGAGGAACTTCTTGCCGTTGCTGCATCTCTTAGCGGCCGATGAGAACAGGCCCATCGCGGGACCGACGCGAGAGTGGGCGGGGCACCCTCGCTCGGGTCGATCCGCGCGAGGAGGGTGGCCGGATTTCTTGGGGGATACTTCTACACTGACGAGGGCGGAGTCTGTGGACGGGAATCGCGTTCTTTTTCTGGACGTGGGTTTGGAAGGCGCGAGCCAAATTTGGCAAAGCGCTGAGTGCTCTTCGTTGTCCGTTCCGGTGAGAACTGTCGCCTAAATATTGCAAGATGTTAACGGTTTTTTCAACTCAAATGGAGAATAAACCTGACCACTGATCTCGAGGGTGGTCATGTAACGGTACATCCTTCATCTTTTTCTTCTTCTTCGATCAAAAAAAAATCTTCGTCTAGTAACTTCTATCTATATTTATACTTGTATCTATATCTATATTTGTACGTTATCTCTGTTTTTCCCATCTGCCGTCCAATTCACCATGCCTGCGAAACACTGCTGGGAGACCGGGAGGCCTATGCCACTTCCGCGCGTTTGATAGCCCCGCAAATGCGCGTCCCCGCCGCCTCCGCATTCTAGGCGTTGCTCCCGAGCACAAGTCGTGCTACTGTTGGCAAAGAACCTTCGTCATATGACGCCTCTCTCGGCTTCCATGTTGACCGTAACGCCGAGCATGTGTGAGTTGAGACATGTTGTTACTATCGTCGATTACAAGATTTTAGGTGTTATGGATGATGTTCGGTGGAATGAGAGTCATAAGTGCTTACATATGGGCTTTGAGGTATCTGTCAGGGCCACATCCCCTATGGTCTTATTGCAAGTTATTATTGTCGGCCTTTTCGTTTTATTGGTTTATCTTTATGCTATTGCTCCAATCAACTGTTAGAATAAAGGGGCTAGGTCCCATTCATATGTGCAAAGAGGTGTGTGAATATCCATCGTATTTATGGAAGTAGAGATTGTTATACTTAAATATGAAAGTCATTTCTACTTCCTCAAGTCTAGTGTGAGGAAGAATAAACGAAGCCCACACGTGTGCTCGCTTGCCAGGCCGGGCTGTTCTCGCTTGGTAGCTTGTTGTGACCGGTTCTCTCCGTGGATTCAGAGCGCACTCGAGTGAGGGGTAGTTGAATGAGAAATCGGTACCAGTGACCACTATGGCTATTTATTGGTCATCTTGGCCATACTTTTAAAAGGTTGAGGGCATAAATCAACTCTTAGCTGTGGCCTTGGGTATAGAGATTCAGTCTTGCACTTTGTATAGGAAAAGTTGTACACCCATGTAGGGTTAAAGATCGATTTGAATTGTTGTGGTCTTGGTTACGAGCAAACTCTTAATGTATAACTTCATTTTAGAGATGCGGAACTCGTGGAAGTTTTGAGTTGCCATGTTGCTTAAGTCCTTTTATGCCAATCTTCTTATACCATGCTATCTTCCTTGCATGATATGATCAAAATGCCATGCTTGCTTATAGCTATGGTTTTGCATCCTACCATTACCTATGATTTTGATCTACCACACTATATAATATATAAACGTGGATAAGTCCTATGAGTACAGCTCGTACTCGCGATGCTATCAATAAGTTATTTCAATGGTTGTCAAAAACAATAATGGCTACTAAGCAAAACTCGGTATGGTCGGTGGCATAAGAGCGGATAGGTTGGTAGCCTAGAGATAGTAGAGTGACTCTTAAATGAAGAACAAAAGAGCGAGTGTCGAAGGCAATTTGTGTTCGACTAATAAATGGGGCCACTAACTTGTTGTAAGTTGTAACCAAAGATGTTTCGAGACATATCAACTTGGTAACAATAAGTTATTTTGTCAAGCATGTGTTGGTGTTGAGTTAATTTGAATTTTGATGGTCATTGTGTATTTAATAACTATTGTGGGGGAGCGGGGGCGGGGTTGTCGTTCACACCACCGTGAGGCCCCAGGAGCGCACTTAGCAACTCCTCTTCAGGATCTTTGCGTTGAGTTACACACACATACCCGATACAAGTAAGGATGAAAACGGTCAGAAATGAATGGAAAATAGCTCTACCATTTTCATTTTCATATTTTTAACGAAAACAGGAGCGGGAGCCGGACAACCGGGAGCGGAAACGGTAACGGGATAAACGGTAATGCGGAAATGGATAAATACGATCGGAAAATAGACGAAAACGGACATGCCACATATGACAAACCAAAGGGCTTGCTGCGGTACTCCCAAATAAATGCGAGCCATCGATCTAGATGATTTTTATCGCATATTACCTTCTAGGAGGTAATAGAATGCAGAAATATATATTAGCAAAATAGGTAAAATATGTTCCAAGTAGATATAATTTCCATATCCTATTAGATCTAACTTGCATGCATGATGTAAATTGTAATCAACAAACTAATGTTGCTATGTTTGTGATAACGTGACATATCATGCTAAGATGATTTTTAAACATTTTTTTCAGATACGTTTGCGTGTACGTCACTTGCTAAAATACCCGTGTGTATATCCATGCTTAATCTTTTTGTGCTTAACCCTTTTATGGTAGGCAGCTTTCACGCATAGCACATAGAAAAAAGAGACATTTGACACATGTTTTTGCGTAACATATATATACATACATGTACGAGACTCTTTTTTTGGTTAAATACATGTATGAGTTACGAGTAACGTTATGTTCTGCATGCAGCTGAACAACGCAGACTGCAGAAGCAAGTCTGGCTGACCGCCCGCTCATGGCACAACTCGGCTCAACGACCTCTACGCTTGTCCTGGGGAACGTATAAACGGGATGAAAACGGGAATATCGTGGTAAAAAAGGGATACCGGCAATACAGACCGAAAAACGCTCAACCATTTTCGGTCCCGATCCTGGTCCCGTTTTCGGTCCCGTTTCCGTTTATACTGCAAAAAACAAAAATGGACGGGACAATACGGTATACGGTTGCGGACGGAATGAGATTCATCCCGTCCATTTTCATCTTTAGATACAAGGCATACCGAACAACTCAATTACATACACACTCTAGTCTCCAACACATTGCTGAAACATCATTGATGACATAAAATAGATTCTAGACAAGAAACTACTAATAACACTAGCATTCTATCTAAACACTGCCTCCAGTCTAGATTACATCTCATTTTACTCTTCTACTCATCGGGTTACACGCAGCTCATCTTAGAAAACGATCTTCCAAGGGCTACTAATCGTGGCGTTCATCGGAGCTAGTCTCGGAGGAAATGCCTTAACAACCTGCAAGACAACTTAACGGCAGCGCCTTGAGTATATTTCGTACTTGTAGGACTTAATTCCAACATATACTATTTGGTGGATGCAAGAGAAAATATCAGGCATTTGTACATTTACGGAAGACAATGGCGTTTCTTAAAGATATGACATGCTATGCTCGATCACTAGAACAGGAGTGCATAACTGATTTCAAGATTACACATAAGTGCTCATAGCTCATTAACAACTCTACCATAGGTATAGAAAGTAGGAACAACCAAAGATTCCGTCCCAAGGACTTCAGGCTTTTGAACTATGCGTAGAGGGTACAACTGTACCTACACGGAAGAATGGGACTAACCACCATACCCCGTGCACTAGAGGTAAGGGTTGCCTCATGTCTCTAACCTTTCCCTAATCCGGCCCGAGTGTCCTATAAATGGTTCAACTGGTGCTCGGTCAATGTCCTGGACATTCCTGACCGGCGCCACCCCCTTGCCAGTTTCATGGATAAACCGGTCGTAATTAGTTACTTGGCTTGTCACCCCCATTTGCGACATGTGGTCTATACGGGTGGTTACTTGGACTTACGTATCCCAATAAATGGTCCTTAACTGCTCCATGAGCTATGTCGATTGAGATCCCACACTCACAATGACCTACCCCTCGCATGAGCGAAGTTACCAAAGTGGTTGAAAGGTCCCTAGTTTGGTTTTGGTAATTGAGTGACAACCTAGGTGGACTAATGTGTTTAAATGTGAGATACACACGTGATTAGTCCATAGGTACACTTGTGTGAGCAACTCATGCCATGATGGTGAAGATGGCTTGGATTTGTTGCAAGGCTCACACATGTGATGAAGGAGCTCATTGCATTAAGACATGACATTGAGTCATGTGACTAAGGTGGAGAAGATCAAGACAAGTCTTGGCTTGATGGACCGGTTGCAAGTGTGAAGGGCAAGTTGAGTGATGACTTGGCGCCGATGGACCGAATCAATGGTGAAGAGCAAGTGAAGTGAAGATCGATGAACCAATACGGTCACGTGATTAAATGAAGTGGATCATATCATTTGGTGATTGGTTGGTGCATGTGTTGCATCAACAATGGAGGAGATGGAATGGAATGCTCAAGGCAAAGGTATAACCTAGGCATTTCATTTCACCGGTCATGGGCGTGTAGAGAAGTTGATGACCGGGTTTAGGATAGATAACCGTACTATCAAGAGGGGCAAACTTGTTTGCATATCGGTCATCTAGTGCCACTTGAGCGATCTAATTTTACGACGTTGCTAGGATCGAGTGGCGTGGTGAATTGAGTGACTAATCCTTTGAAAAATGTTTGTGAAAATGCTAACACACTTGTACTTGGTGGTGTACACTTGGTGGTGTTGGCACATTTGCAAAGGAGAAGTTGTTGGAGTTGAATTGGATCAACTTAGAGAAGAGGGAGAGGTTTTTCGATATACTCTGAACTATAGGATGACTCTTGATTTGGAATTCTTCATTGATCCATTGTGCTTTGCATCAAATATTCAAGTGGGTTGTGTAGACCTCTGAACAAGCTTTTCAAAATATCCAAGATCATCGAAATCAGAGATTGGAGCTAAGAGTTATAGTCGTTTTAGCGCTGAAAGGTCTGTGACCGAACTCTGTGACCTGACACTTCTGGTCAGTACCTATGAGTCCGATCGAGAGTTCGATCAGTGTTTTTAACTTTTCTAGGAGCGACCGGACGCACGAAGAGTCCGGTCAGTGATGACCTGACTCGTTAGATCATCAAAAGAGCTCTCTGGAACCTCTCTAGAAGTGACTAGACTCTA